AGATAACCCTTGTGTAGCTTTGTGCATAATTTAAAACAAACAAAAACAAACATTTTATTTTATTAACATATCAGAAAACAGAAACATGAAACTAATTTGGATGATGTATTTACTTTATTTTAAGCAACGACTTTATCCAAATACTTTAGGCGGTTATATTCTATTTAGATATAGTACATATTCAAACTCTATGATATTTTCAGTGTTAAGTAAGTTATATTATTGCTATTAGTAATCATGAAAATTATTATTCATAGTTAAAAGCCAAGACTTGTTCTGGTCATATATTAGCTTGAGTAATTGACCAAGTTATGTAACCTTAGCCGGTGAGAGTCGGGGGTTCTGCTGAAGAACCTCACCCCCCCAGTGGCACAGGGGTAAGTGACCTAAAGACTTATAACGTTAGAAACCGGGTTTCGATACCCGTGATGGGCACAGCATAGATAGCCCAATCTGTAGTTTTGTGTTTAACTACAGACAATGACCTAAACACGATAATATTTGAATCATAATAACTCAGAAATAATACGAAAGCTCAGTTCAACGACTTTTATGTTTCTATAAGTAAAAAATTGATTTCGTTCTTTTTTTTTTATTGAAAATAATTTGTGCTTACTGTGGAACTCTGAGAAGAATGAATTATTAATACTGTTAGTGAAGAGGATTGCCTTGTATTTTGAAATTAGGTCGAAATATAAAAATTATAGATTAGTTGTTTTCGGATTTGATAGATGAGAATAGTGAACTTGCTAGGGAAATATGAATTATTTATTATTGATTATTTATCTCAATAATATAGATGGCAGCATATGCTGTGGAATGTTCTGATATCGTATCTGTAACGTGATATATGAGAATGTCTAATTTTAGGGGCTTGATAAGCTTGGTAAGTGTTGTAGGGGGCGTCAAATGTGCTTTAATAGTGTAACTGTTGGGTGTTATAATAATTATTTTTTCTTCATTATTCGAGATATAGGATTTAGAATTTCATATTTATTTTTCAGGAAATGTTCTAATGTAAACGAATGAGCATTCAGCTTTCAAAAGCCTAGGATATTTTGTAGTTTCTACTTCGTGAATTGAAGTAGTAATGCTTGTGTATATAATCTGTGAGCTAACGTAAACTACACTACGATCTTTGAAATAAAGATGATTTGGAGTGAGGTGACTGTGGATTAAAATTTTTTTTGGTCACAGATGGGATTACATGTGGTCAACGATTTGGAAAGTGGACAGAGAAACGTGTGTTTCTGGACTTTGAATTTAATATATTTTACAAGAAAAACTTGCATGAATATAGAAATATGCATTTCCTGTTCTTTCAAACTTTATTTATATAAAATCCAACGTTTCAAAAGTTAAAAAAAAATGTATACAGCAAAAAATACTATCGTGGATAATTTGGAATTCCTTTGGTTTGCTAATGTTTTGCATTCTTGTGGTTAGTTTAATTGCTGTAACCATCTCTATAATAATAAGAAAAGGAGTGGGATGGATTAATTTTTTTTTTCCATTTTAGAGATATCTTTGATTTAACTTTTTTGTTTTTTTTCTTGTCTGATAACTTGCACATGATTTGTGTCAATCATGGGGGGGGGAGGATCTGAACTTTCCATCTATTTGTTTTTTTTTCACATTTGTTAAAACTACATGCATCAAACTGCTTGTTGGCTCTTGAATTTGTTGGTCACAGGGCCCCAAATAATATATTAGGCATAGAAAATTTAAAAATAGTGCTAGTATACAGTTTATTCTAGTAATTACTGTTTTGATCCCATATGCATTTTACATACGAGTGATTTCAACTGATTATTTTAATAGAAAATACATAATACTACTCAATTATGATAATATGTGAATTCTAACACTTCGTAATGGTATCAAAACAAGTTGGTAAGTTGAGGGTTAAATACTTGTCACTACATTAAATTTTTTGTAAAAAATAGTTCAACTGAAAATAGGATTAGAAGGGTGTGCAGTAGTAAAACAAAAAGGTTAAAGCTGTAGAGTTAAGTTCAGTTAGCATTCAGACCTATAACTTCCAGAGTAACTCTTATTACTCCTATTTAACTCTATGTGCACAGGTGGGGTGGGGTGGGGGGTCAATGTGTGCATGCCACAATGTTGTATATAGTGCCATTCAACATGGTATTGTGTATTTGATGTCAAAGTTATCAACTATTTTATTTTATCCTAAATTGTTAATTGAATGACAGTTCGTGGTAGAGGAGAGTAAATACTATATAAAATGTACAGGGATACTGAAAAAAACCTGTAAATATGAATTTTGGAGGCTCTAGAGTTTACGCAAGTACAATATGCAAACTATAAGAAGGACAAAAGTATCTTTGTTTTTCACATAAACATCACCTTGCACTCTGACTTGTCAGACTC